GCCGCCGCCGCGTCGAAAAGCAGCCCAGCCGGAGAGCGATCCTTGCAGTGGACAAAAAGAAAATCCAGCCGGATCCTCGGGGCCACTTCGAAGAAGAAATGGTCGCCGCTGAAGATGTACTGCCTCTTGGAGAGCAGCAAGAAGAAGACGAAGGGGAAGGAGAAGAGGAAGAAGAAGAAGAAGAAAAAGAAGAAGAAGAAGAAATTGCCCAAGGAAGCGATGACCCTCAATAACCCCTTGGCTAATGATCCCGGATCCCCACCCGATCCTAAAAAGCCAACCCTCAAATTAAAAAATATCCAGAATCCACTGAGAAGGAAGAGGGGTGAGTGTCGCTTCAAATAAGCCTCAAGATTATCCCGACAGGTTAATTTTTTTTATCGCAGGAAAGCCATAATTTTGGCTGGTTATCATCATTGTCTTTTAACGACCCCATAATCCCTTGCGGATTATTTAATGGCCGGATGCCTTTCCTGTCACCGATGCGGAGTTTTGTTTCAGAAGATCTCAGTGTGGAAAGTGGTGGAATTCAAATTTTATTTTTACTACTGGTTCTGTGGGTGTGGCTCGGTGGGTGTGGCATGACTTGGTGGGCGTGGCTTGGGCGTGGCAGGGGAAGGGTTCTGCAAAATGCCCCTTCACTCCCCACCCCGCTAACCTGCTTTCCAGCTTCATTCTCCTGTGCAGGGCAACCAAAGGAGACCCAACCGATCAGCTGGGACTCAATGCAAGGCAGAAAAGAGATGGGGTTGGCGGGGCCAGTCAGAGGTAGGGTTTGCCCGGTTCTCTGAACGACTCCAAATTTCCGCTGCTGGTTCCCCAGAACTGGTCAGAACCTCTGCTATGCGGTCAGAGTTACACACAATAGAATGTGCTCAGAGAAATATCTGCCTCTACCTAGAATTGAACTCACAGCCTCCTGATTGTGAGGCAAGAGTGCCACCTCTAGGCCACTGCATCACTCCATAATTTCAGCTGATTGTGAAGCTATCATTTTACAGGTAATCCTCGACTTATGACCGGCCACGTAGTGTCCAAAATGACACCGATGCTGAAAAAAAGTGACTGAGGTCTGGTTTTTCACACTTAACGACTGTTGCAGCATTCCTCATGGTCACATGATCAAAATTCAGATGCTTAGCAACTGGCATGTACTTATGACGGTTGCAGTGTCCCGGGGTCATGTGATCTGCTTTTGCGACCATGGGGCCAAGTCCATGGGGGGTGGGGAGCCAGGTTGACTTGACAACCGTGTGACTTAACGTTAACAACCGCAGGGTTTTGCTTCACAACTGCGGCAAGGAAGGTCGTAAAATGGGGGAAAACCCGCTTCATTCTCTTGCTTCTTAGCGATGGGAATTTTGGGCTCACTTGTGGTCGTAAGGCAAGGACTACCTGTAATTCATTTATATTCCTGCCTTTATAATTCTTTACAAATTTGATATTCTTGTTGTGGCCTGTCGGCTCTTCCAGTAGCCAAATCAGAGGAGGAAGAGGAGGCATGGGAGTCAGGGTCAGTATCCGGGCAACCTAAGAGCTCCGAGGGGAAGAGGCGGAGCCTGAGCCGTCCGTCAGCCCTCAGAGGGAGGGTCAACAGTCCCCAGGTGTGGAGGTGGCTGATGAGGAAGGGGAGGAACAGCCGGGTACAGTGCCTGATGTGTGGATGCGCAGAAGGCAGAGGAGAGGAGAGCAGTGGAAATCTATGGGCCGGTCCTCAGGACGGAAGAGCCACCACTGCTAGCAAGGGCCCATTCTAGCTCTGGGGATAAAAGGCAGAGGGGTGGAGACGAATAGGTGTGGCAGAAAACTGTTCATCTCCCTGATGGACGGACTTGTTAGCCTGCAGTGAGAGAGAAACTTTTTGCCGAGGAGAAGAGAGCAGTGGAAATCTATGGGCCGGTCCTCGGGACGGAAGAGCCACCGCTACTAGCGAAGCCCCACCCTAGCTCTGGGGATAAAAGGCAGTGGGGTGGAGACGAATAGGGGTGGCAGAAAACTATTCATCTCCCAGATGGACGGACTTGTTAGCCTGCGGCGAGAGAGAAACTTTTTGCCCGGGCTGCCGGCCTTCCTAATAAAGGAATCTTCAGAGGGTTTGTCGAGTTTGGGGACAGAACAATTCTGTTTAAACTTCAGGCTCTCCTTTTCCCGTCCCCCCCAAATCTTTTATGGAACCAGCCCCTCCCCATTTCAACCCGATGCCCCCCAATCGGCTGTATATTTTGGGGTCAAATTGAGACCGAGAAACCCTCAATACGGTACGGTAGACTCTGGAGTCACAAAACACCGTCGGCTGGGTGGTTTTCGGTTAACCTTCCTGTGGTTTAGAGCATTGTGTGACATCCGACGGGATGTTACAGGAAAGCCATAAGGCGGTTTAGCACAATAACGGTGTGAATAGTGGTTTAACGCAGGCACAGGTGTTGGTTTGTGGGTTGTGGTTGTTTGTCTCTATCCATTGAATGCAAAAGAAAAAAAATAGAGGTGCAGTTCTGAGGAAAGAATGAAAAATAAGAGAGAAGCGGAATAAGTGGGATATATATTCACAGTCCTATATGTATCTATATCCATATTTATATACCTATGTCTATAGCTATATCATCCATCTATCTGTCATCTATCTATCTATCTATCATCTATCTATCTATCTATCTATCTATCTATCTATCTATCTATCTATCTATCTATCTCTATCATCTCTATCATCTACATCTATCATCCATATCTATCCATATCTCTTATCTATCTATTCATCCATCCATCCATCCATATCTATCATCTCTATCTATCTATCTATCTATCTATCTATCTATCTATCTATCTATCTATTTCTATCATCTCTATCATCTATCTCTATCATCTACATCTATAATCTATATATCTATATCTATCCATATCTCTTATCTATTCATCCATCCATCCATCCATATCTATCCATATCTCTTTCTATATCTATCTATCTATCTATCTATCTATCTATCTATCTATCTATCTATCTATCTATCACTCTATCTCTACCTACCCATCCATCCATCCATCTATATTATCTGTCCTCTATCATATTATCTATCCTATCTATCTCCCACCATCTCTCTCTCTATCCTAGATGGATATAGGATATTATCTATCATCTGTCTGTCTGTCTGTCTGTCTGTCTATCTATCTATATATCACTCTATCTCTACCTACCTACCTACCCATCCATCCATCTATCCATCTATATTATCTATCCTCTATCTATCATATTATCATATCTATCTCTCACCATCTCTCTCTATCCTAGATGGATATAGGATATTATCTATCCTCTCTCTCTCTCTCTCTCTCTCTCTCTCTCTCTCTCTCTCTCTCTC